TGACATTCATTTTATCATATGTGTACGTGTTTGGCTAAAAAAGTTCAATTTAAGAAATTCATGTATCATGGTCGTGAAGCAGTCACGAGAAATTGCCAAGATTCAGTTCAAGATTTTGGAAAATGCGCAACGATAATCAATAATCGAAGATAGCCATTTGATTCTCCATGGTATTGGCAGTCTAATGGCGTTTACGGCATGTCTATATGTCTATTCTGTGATTTTATATGATTTTTTGAACATATGCCGTTTTTGGTCGAAAACTCAGAAATCATGACGTCACTAAAACCTCGATATCTCAAAAATTTTCCGACCGATTTTTTTTTGAAACTTTGTCACAATAAACTTCAATCAATTCCCTACAGGTACCCAAAATTTGGCGCGCCTGCGGCGCGCCGTTTTTATGCTATGGCCCGGCGAAAAAAGTGGGGGCGTTTAACGCCCCCCCCCCCCCCCAGCAACTCGCGGGTTAAACCCCAGCGTTTGTTTAAGAAATAATTACAATGGCCATAAACAGTGACCACCCCACATTTACCTTATAATGCAGGTTTGAGTAACATTGACGGCTCTATAAGGGCGGCTGAGCTGAGCGGACCTATTTGGTCGGGCGCCGCGCCGCGCTGTGGTCTCAGCGGCTCCCACATGGCGGCGGCCCGATTGATAAGGAAGTGACGACGGCACGGTCGGGGCCGCGGCTCCGGGCCGGCGCGCCGGCCGCGCGACCTGCAGTGACCCGAACAGAGTGCCTCTGTCGGCCCGGTGACCAGACCCCGTGAACATGGGACGGGGTCGGACACAAGTGTAAGTTTCGGATTCGAACGGGAGCTGCTGTCAAAAATGGCAAAAACGAGATGGACCTTTTCGAATATTTTTACCACGTCGCTGGCAAAAACCTGAATTTGAATGTCTAGCTTTGCATTATTCATGTTTTCATACCGTAAAACATGCCCAGAAATTACGGTTTCGCAGACTTCGGGCCTCGCAGTGAGTCAACACTTGAATAGAAATTCAATCAACTTGTTTTTGGCTCGACACTTTGTAAATACTCGGTGGAAAAACATGCGTGTTTTTGCAGCGACGTTTGGCGGGCCCTCGCCTATTCAGAAATGTGATTGCAAGGAAGCGGATTGATGCATTCGCGTGATCACACCACAACTCAAACTAAGTGGCCCCGTGGGCTTTAAAGGAAATATTTACGACCGTGGCTGTTTTCGGACGGCCTCAGGTAGGCTGCCGGCTGCGGCTGGGGCCGGGACTGGGACGGGTCACCTCCAGCGGGGGAGTCCGTTTGTCGCCTCAGTGGACGGATCTGCCAGAGAGGCGTCGTCCGCCGCGCAATGTTCCCAGAGTGGGCCACACAGTAAACGACGCGGGGCTGCCGCGTCGTACCCATTGAGTGGTCATTCACAGCGGCCATGCCCAATCAAATCACCAGAACGCGGATGTTCTGATCCAGCGCCGGCGGATGGCTGTCATCGCACCGCTCCCTGCGCTACTGCTCGTCACCTCTGCCGCTCCCTGCGCTACTGCTCGTCACCTCTGCCGCTCCCTGCGCCTCTGCTCGTCACCTCTGCCGCTCCCTGCGCTACTGCTCGTCACCTCTGCCGCTCCCTGCGCTACTGCTCGTCACCTCTGCCGCTCCCTGCGCTACTGCTCGTCACCTCTGCCGCTCCCTGCGCCTCTGCTCGTCACCTCTGCCGCTCCCTGCGCTACTGCTCGTCACCTCTGTCGCTCCCTGCGCTACTGCTCGTCACCTCTGCCGCTCCCTGCGCTACTGCTCGTCACCTCTGCCGCTCCCTGCGCCTCTGCTCGTCACTGCTTCCAGTCGCTGGGCCTCTGCTCGTCACTGCTGCCGCTCCCTGCACCTCTGCTCGTCACTTTTACCACACCCGGTGCCGGTTGTCGTGTATATCTCCCAGATCGCCATTCCTCCGATCCTGTGTTTCTGCGATACTCATGGCGACTTTGGCGTCTAGCGTGTCTCGATGGCCGCGGACGAGATCGAGAAGCAGCTCGCTTGGTTCCGCCTGACTCGGCGCGGCCCGGTTTGGGCCCCGCCGCGCCGGTCGGGGTCGTGGTCCCGGATCCGGCAGGCGGGCAGGCGGGCGGGGGCGGGGGCGGCCAGGGTCGCGCCGCGGTCGAGACAGCATGGCTCCGCTGAGAAGCCGCGCCGCTTCCGGCGGCGGACCGCTTTCAGTGCAGTGGTGCACCGCTGCAGGCGCGCGGCGGGCTGCGCTGCCACCCCCGCCCCGCCCCCGCCCCCACCCCGGCCCCGCTCCCTATCTCGTCGACCCTGCGGCACATCTCATGCGGGGCTTCGCGACGAGCCGTCTCAATCCGTCCCACCCACTCCATCGGCGGCGGAGTGGCTTGTTTTTCAACTTCACCGCCGCTGCCGTCACCAACAGCGCCTCCGTATGGGCCTGTCGCGCCTCTCCGCGCCGTCGTTCCCGTCATCGGCCGTCAGTAGCTGATGTGCCGCTGGTGTGCCGCCCCGGCTCCGCCGGCTCTGCGGCGGCGAGTCTGGCCGGCCGCCACACGCTCCGCCATCGACGGGCGGTGCCCTGTTGTTCGCCGCCGAGAACGAAAATATGCGCCGGCCCAGGTAATGGCCGAGCCAATGTAAGCAGACGGATGGGCCGGCGCCGCGCCTGTGAGCGGAGGGGTGGCTGGAGAATGGCGGGGAGACTGTGGTTTACCTGGGAATACACAGGTGATGGGCGCGTTAGGAGCTCTGTTTATGGCCGTGCCGCGGCCGAGACGGGAGCTGCGGAGTCTGGGTGGCGGGGAGGGTAGAGCTGTGTTAGCGAGGACGTCGGAACTGGGGAGACGGAGACGGCAGAGCTAATTTGAGAAATGCACGCAAACATTTTCGAGTCGTGCCTATTTCTTTTGTCCAGGTGTTAAATCCGTTGTATTTTCTATGGCAGGGCTTGGCTGAAAGGACATCCCAAAGTAAATTCCACTAGGTAAATCTGACAGCATCAACTGTTTCTGCGGTTTCCGATTATCAACTGCTAGGTGGAATGCGGTCAGGGATTAATTAAGGTAATTAGAAAGTTGATTTTAACAACAAGAACAAAATAACAAGAACAAATAAGTTCTTGCAGAAAGAAAGCATAAAACCGAGCCGAACGAAAGCTATGTTTACCTACTTATCGAACAAGAGCTGGATGAAAGCAGCGTGCTGCAGTCAGTTATTAGGTGAAACGGGAAATCCAGTTATATCCTTCAATTTCCTATCTGGTGACATGGCAACTTGAGCCGTTCCTTGAGACCCTCCCCACCCAGCATTTCCGCGCTGCTGTCATTTCTCGACTTGTTCCGTCGTTCCGCGCCATTTTTCATTCCGTTTCCGGCGACGTTCAATCGGCGTCCCTTGTGGTGGGATGCTCCGGCCCGCCCCAACTTCGTCTCGACGCTTTTTGTTCGAGGGTGGGTCCGAATAAAAACGCCTCGCGCCGACCGTCTCGTCACGATTCCCCGGCGGCCTCTGCCCTGCTCTCCCGCCGCGTTTTCATCCCGGTCTTCTGTTCAGGTTGCGATGTCCGTGTCGTGTCCTTGCGCTGCCTATACCTGTGACGATCTCCGGTTGGTCCTATCTGACCACTGACCAGTCTCTCCGGCTGTAATCCAGCAACAGTCTCATTAGTTCCAGCAGACAATAGGTAATATTTTTAGCTCTACCCGACAATAGTCTGATGCAGTATTGCAGGCCGCAGCTTTAGGTATCCGAGAATAGCACCGACCTTCACCGCTGCTAAGCAATTGCGCTACCCGCGATCTTGTAACTGCCATTTTATTTATCGCAGTAGCAGCAAATTCAATTGTTGCAAAGGTCTTTGATACAACGTAAGAAATGACGCAAACGTCTAAGCTTTGCCTAAACCAACCTCGTTTTCAATGGCATAGTAACACAACATGAGACAAAGCGTGATGAATGTTTGATAATTCAGAGGACATTGTGCATACTGCAGTTCTGGCTCACGAACCCAGCCCGTTTCTCCCGGTCTCTCCCGTCTCAGCCCGGCTCTTATGCGGCCGCCCTGAGATCTCCGCCCGTCTGCATCTCCTTCTCGCATCCCAAGTCCCCCTTGATCTCTGTTCTGCTGTGGCCGCCACATGCCCAGTCCTTCTCCATCTCCCTAATCTCGGCCTCTGCGGCGGTCACCTGCCGTCCGCAGCGGCGCGCCGGCCGCCGACATAAGCCGCCGCGCTCCCAGCGGACCGGCGGCTCCATTTCGGCCGCCGGCCCGTGTCGCGCTAACTAATTCCATCCGTATACGTGGGGGAAATCAAAGGCCGCCGGTCGACACCGGCCGACTAATGGTGGCCGTCCCGGCCGCGGGTCTCGGCGGGCGGAGCGGCGGCCGCCTCTCGTTAGTTCGGCGCCCGCCGACCGCTCGGCCTCCCGTTACCGGCGAGTCGGGTGGCTGTCCGCCCGTGTGTCTGTCTGCTCTCCGGTGTTCGTCGCCGCTGCGTCACCGAGTGTCGTCGCGATACGCTCATTACGCGGGGTGTGCTCATTATTATCGGTAGCGGAACTGCAACATCAATGGGCGCAACGAGCCCCGGCGAGGGATATCATCAGCCCACCTGGCCGAGACAGTTCAATATTATTTTTATCACAGCGGTGCAAATGTTTGCTTTTGTTGGTCGGATCGTTGTGCAATAGTTTAATCATTTTTATTTTAAGGAAGTCCATTTCACCAATGCGAGATGATATACTGAAACTTAGCAGTTCGTCTTCACATGTCCGGGTGTTTAACACTAGTCCATAATTTTGCAACCGCGATCTACACACTGAGCTGCTGCCCGCATTGTTGCTGAGTGTTTACGCGCTCCCGTCAGTGTTTGTGCGTGGAACGAGGCGCTCAAAGGATGAGCTGGTCGTTCCATACATTAAGGGCGTTGTTTTCGCCGGTGCTGGCTGAATTATTTGACTCGCGCCGCGCCGCTCGCCCCTGGGTCACCTGTCTGACCGGAGGCTCTCTCCTCAGGCCTTTCTGGAGATGGCCGACGAGGTGGTAGCCACGCAGATGGTGGCCTACTTCGCCAACGGCACCGCCCAGCTGCGCGGCCGCTCCGTCTACGTCCAGTTCTCCAACCACAAGGAGCTCAAGACGGACCAGACGCACTCGAACGCGGTGAGTGCTCCCGCCGGCGCGGCGCTGCCGAGCGTCCCGCCCTAACGCTCCACACGCGCCCGACGAATGCAGCGCGGCGTTCAATGTCACCACCGCTGGCTGTCCCATCACCTGTCGCTATCAGTGTAACCGTTGGAGTGTTTGGCTGTTTGACTGAAGTGGCCTCTTCCGACTCTTTTTACTAATCTACACTTGCTTGTCTAACGATCGCGATGGTTTCCCTTCAAACGGTTTCTCAGCCTCTGTGACTGTTTCTCTTTGTGCTCTTTTTTATGGTTAATCTCTTTTCTCTCCTGTCTCTCCCTGTCTCTTGCTCCTCTTTCGCCCTTCCTCTTCTCTCCTTTTGCTTTCTTTATTTGTCTCAATTTCGTCCTTCACTACCGTCCAAAGCTGCATACCTAGGGCATCTGCTCTCATGGCCGCCTTCTGCGGGCGTCTGTCCTCTGGTCACGGCCGGCGCCGTGGTCTGACCACTGATGAGCACCTATCCATCCTCCTCTCGGGAGCGCCCGCCGTCTCCGCGGGGAGCGGACGGCCGCGGCTCCTCGCGCTGATTCGCCGTCGTTCGGCACCGTCCCACCTCAGCGCGGACACCCTGCCGTAAATTGGACCGTAAATTTGCCGCCACAGACGGAACACCCTCGACGCGTGCCCATGCCACGGCGCCGAGCCGACGACGGCGCCTGATGGCCGGCTGGGCTCAATATGGAGATTGGGAATGCCAGGTAGAAAGCTCGACAAGGTGAAAATAGGGGCACGTGTTTTACGTGACAGTCGGTCACTGAGGAAGTGGTTCAATTAAATGGCTATATCGACGCTTACATGAGCGTGTTCATTGTTCAATGTTCATAGTTCAACACTTGCTGATTAAGAATCGAATGGTAGCGTGGCGCAACGTTTTACTGCCGGCTCACTCGGTTTTTAGCTCGGGCGCGGGGCGGTCCCTGTCGTCCCGCATTGACCCGCCGCGGTCGCTGGTCGCGGTGCCATGCTGTCTGGTGTGGAGTCCGCCACCCTGCCGACGTCGACGCCATAGCCAACTCGAATTTACGGCCCATCGTCCCCTCGCCGACGCCACTTTGACACGCAACGATCACGCCGGAAATGATGCCACTGTTCAGATGTACCCCAATAGCCGCCCGAAATGGTCTATTGATTGCGAAATTTGGGTCCGATCGTAAAGTGACGGACGCGCTTACTTACTGGTCTTACTGGTCGAGCGGCAGCGTCGTTAGCCGGCGGAGGCCCAATAGTTGGCCCCAAGCAGCCTCTGCTCCTCCTAGCTGGAACACCCTGGTCAGCGCCGCTCGGGAGAGAGTACCAGTGGCCAGCTGGCACATCGTGTGGGCAGCGCGGCCACGGGAGGTGGATTTCGCCGCCCAACCCCGCTGCAGGCCTCTCTCGCTCATCCTCCTCTCCTCCCACGACCCGTCGTCGCGGCTGCTCAGCTGTCGATCCCGTATGATGAGTTGGATGTCCTGCGTCCCGAGCTCCAGGTAGTCGGAAGCAGAACCGCTGCCAGCCAGGTGATCGGCTCTGTCGTTCAGTTGGACTCCGGCGTGCCCTGGGCAGTATACCCAGACGACTTGTTGAGGGAGGTCGTGCCACTCCGGAGGAGCCGATCCGCTCTCTAGTTTGCGCAGGAGAGACTGAGAGTCGGTGCAGATGATGCACGCGGCTAGATCAGGGTGGGCGCTTCTGGCAAGATCCAGACCGCGGAAGATGGCCTCCAGCTCAGCCCTCATGCTAGAGAGGCGAAGGTTACAGCCTCCACGGTGGGTCTGCAGGCTGCCGTCTGACTCCCTCATCACACACCCCCATCCCGATCTTGGGGTGCTTGTGGTGACAGAACCGTCAGTGGCCAGGACGACGAGGGGCTGTGGGAGCTCACTGCTGGTGTCGGCCAGGACCTCCTCAAACATGGCGTTCACTACGTGTGGTGGTAGCTCACGGTCGGTGCGGCTGAAGAGGTCGATCTTGAAGGTCCATCGGCATCTGGTGGCGGGAGGCGTCGCAGACCACAGGTGAGATCTGCGGATCTTGTGCCGACCGCAGAGACCGCGCAGAGCTTTGGTCCCATCGCGCAGCCAGCCCGTGCGCTGCAGACGTGCCAGTGGAGCGCGTGCCAGGGCTTGGTTGACGAAGTCGTGCAAGGGATGGCCGCAGTCGGAGGCGACGATGCACACCGCTCTGGCTCGTAGGACTTCGTGTAGGTCGACGATGGAGGGCAGGTCAAACATGTACCTCAGCGCAGTGACCGGCGTCTGTCTGGGGCACCCGGTGGCGAGTCGGAGAGCGCTGTTCTGGATCCGCTCGAGCTTGTCCATCGTTGTCTTCAGCGGATTGATGATCTCGAGTCCGTAGGTGATTCGAGAGAGGACAAGCGAGCGATAGAGATGACTGATCCGTCTCAAGTCAACTCCCCTGCTGTAGGCCGCTTTCAGCGTTGACAGAGCGCGAACGCATCTGCTGCGCACTGAGTCGGCGTGGGCGTTAAAGGTGAGAGCCGGGTCCAGCGTCACGCCCAGCAGCTTTACTTGATCAGAGTAGGAGATGGGTTCACCCCCGTAGACCACCGCTTCCAACGGTTGGGTGGGGCGGCGCTTCCCAAAGACAGTGACGGATGCCTTCTGAGGGTTGATGACCATGTCGAGATGGTCGCATGCGGCCTTCACATTGTTGACCACCTCCTGAGCGGTGCCGATTGCTGAGGAGATGTCCCTGTGCCACGCGACGATGGTGATGTCATCTGCGTAGCACAAAAGGATTGCGTTGTCAGGCGTGATGATGGAGGCGATGGGCTGCAAGTAGGCGTTGAAGCAGATGGGCGAGAGGGGTGACCCCTGGGGCAGTGCGGTGGGAACGTCCGTCCAGTCGGACATCCACCTGCCACACTTCATGGAGCATCTCCGGGATCGCAGCGCTGCCATGATCCATCTGGTCAGCCGCACGTCCGTGTCGAGGACGAGGAGACGGTGGGCCAGCTTGGGGAGAGACACCATGTTGTAAGCGTCCTGAAGATCGAGGGCGACCAGGACGGCTTGCTCTCGACGTTCGAAGGCCTCGGAGATGACGTGCGTTACCACCCCTGCGTTTGTCCACGTGGACCGTCCCTTGCGGTATGCGCCCATGCCGGGAGGCATCCGAGGCTCCAGATGTGACGCCAGCCTCTCGCATACCATGGATTCAGCCACCTTCCCAAGCAGATTTTGTACTGCTATTATCCGGTGGCCCTCGAGGCGGTGGTGATCCTTCCCTGGCTTGGGAACTGGGACGAGGACGCTGTCGCACCACTCGGTGGGCACGATGCCGGAGACCAGGGACTCGTTGATCTCTGAGAGGAGCCGACTTTTCGACTGAGCAGAGAGGTTCTTGAGAGCAGAGGCTGGAATCCTGTCGGGTCCTGGGGATACATGTCCTATGCGCTCGATCGCCCGAGTGAGGTCGTCCATGCCGAAGAGTTCAGATGGAGCGAGTTGCGGTAGTCTGGACGAAAGGTCTCGGATTGCTTCGTCTCTCCTGGACATGTCGCCGCGGGAGCACTGGTCAACAAAACGCTGCAGAAAGGCGGATCCCTTCTCCTCGTCGGTACGCAGGATGCGGGAGCCCGCCACCATCTGCATGCTGGAGGTCTGCGGTTTTGAGTCGCCCATGGAACCGATGAAACGCCAGAACTGGCCCGAGTCTCTGTAGCTCTCCTGCAAGAAGACGTCCCAACACCTGCGCTTGGACGAGAGGGTGATCCGCTTCCATACGGCGTCGGCCTTGTTTCTGGCTGAGCGAGCAGTCTCCCTGGTGGAGGCGTCACACGATGTTTTGGCGGCACGCCAATGTTTCAGCGCGGAGCGTTTGTTGCGCCATGCTGCATCTACCTCCGGTGTCCACCATTGCTTCCGAGTGGGCATCGCGGCTGCTTCTCGTCCCTGGCGCCGTCTTGACTTGGCTTCCTTGAAGAGCAAGGTGGAGTGGAGGGTTGTACCTCCTTGACGAAGATGGTACAGGCGAGGTCTCTGAGCAGAAGGCGAGGGCCCGGTCCTCGGAAACCGGACACGAACCTCGCACAGTAGGTGGTCGCTGGCACCGTGGTAGGTTGGGGCCCAGAAGACGTCGCCAGGCACCTCCCCCGCGGAGAAGGCGAGGTCGATCGTGGTGTCTGAATCACCCGGACGATCAGCTAGACGCGTCGGGGTGGGGGAGGTCAGCAGCTGCAGACCGGAGTCTGAGAGCAGTTCTTCCAGTGCCTTGCCGTTAGAGTTGTGTAGACCGCTGGCGCACCAGGCTGGAGACCGCGCATTGAAGTCACCGAGCACCAGCGAGGGGCCTGGCAGGTTCTCGATCTGCTCCAGAAACCGCCAGTCATCCACGGCGGAGCAGTGTGATGCGTACACGTTGTACACGCTGACGGCGTCCCGCAGTCGGTCGTCTCCAACAGACACCCCTTGGATCAGGTAGTCCCCTGGTTCGAAGTCGGTGCAGTCCAGTGTTTTCCATGTCAAGCCGGGCCGGTCGCGGACAGCGATGAGGATGCCCCTCCCGTAGTCGTGACGTATGATGCTGAAGCCTGGGAGCCGGAAGAAGTGGGGAGTGCTGAGCAGCGTCTCCTGCAAAAGAAGCACATCGTACCGTTCCGAGATGGTCTCCAGCTCCAAGAGTTTGGACCTTGCCCCGCGGACATTCCAGTATCCGATCATCAGATTTGAGTGAAGAAGTCTGGAAGACTTTGTGTGCCGGCAACGAGCTCCCGCGCGGCGACCCCTCACCGATCGAGAAGTACCTTGCGGGGACGAGCTCGAGGTCTGGGTGGATGACGCAGTCGAGTCGATATCGGGAGATGATACAGCTGATTGCAGAGACGAATCGTAGTCAGAAGTTCGAGCGCGGTCAGTTTCCGGGTGATCATCCGGGAGGACACACCTTGCAGCATGAACTCCATTGCGCGAGATGTGTACCGCAGGTCAAGTTATTCACCGCCGTTCAGAGTGCCGGAGCACCCCTATCTA